CAAGGCACATGCCCTTGGCTGGAATTGAACCTGGGACCTTTCAGTCCGCAGGCCGACACTCTATCCACTGAGCCAAACCGATTAGGGCTGGATGTGCTGAAAATGTTCATTGTTAACTGTCCTGCACCCTCCAGTGTGAAAGAAGTAGTTGTTTTTCCATTTCCTCCAGCCTCAGAGATTTCCCTGCTTTCCGCTCACCTCCCTCATCTACCACCATTGGATTTCATGTGACCCCCTCACATCTCCTCCTCTGACTGTAATGTACAAAATCAGCTGCAAAAGTACCTTCTCCTGAGCATTTTCTCAATCATTTGAGAGTTTTGGCCTCCTGGCAGCTCAAATAAATTAATAAAATTGCCTAGAGGTTTGGACATTTGCTTGCATTGACAGTAATTAGCGGGTTAAATGACTCATGAGTCAGCAGTTCCGCAGTGGAATACTATACAGCAAGGAAAAGGCCAGATCCCCCAGCGGGTTACAAAGAGCACTCATGGAGGAGATGCTGAGGGAAAGATACCAGACAGAAAGGAAGGCACCGCTGGTTCCGTTACATCATTTTGGGAAACAGGCAAATCCATCCATGATAACAGAAGTGGGCATGGCTCGTATCCAGGGGCACTGAGCATGATGGGAGAGAGCCAGGGGTGCTCCTGGGCTGGGAATGTTCTGGAACCTCATCTGGGAGGTGGTCCCATGGGCATACCATTGTAGAATGTCATTGTGCTGAGCATGAAGATTAGTCCTTTTTCCTCATGGCATTTGCATCTCAAAGTCTAACAGTAAAAAGGCAGAGGCCGTGGGATACATCCTGGAGACTCTTCAAAAGTAAAACAACCCAGCTTGGGTGGCCCAGTGATTGAGCGTCGACCTATGAACCAGGAGCTCAGGGTTTGATTCTAGGTCAGGGCGCATGCCTGGGTTGTGGGCTTGGTCCACGGGTGTGTGTGTGTGTGTGTGTGTGTGTGTGTGTGTGCGCGCGCGTGCACACAGGAGGCAACTGATCGATGATTCTTTCTCATCATTGATGTTTCTGTCTCTCACTCTCCCTTCCTCTCTGAAATTGATATATATTAAAACATAGGCCCTGGCCCATTGTTGCTAAGTGGACACATGCTACAGTGTGGATGAACCTTTAAAACAGGCTGAGTGACAGAAGCAGACACAAAGGGCCACCTAGTATGTGATTCCAATTATTTTCTTAATCTATTTTTACTGATGCTTAGACAGAGAGGAGGGGAGAGGGAGAGAGAGAAATATGGATTGGCTGCCTCCTGCCTGCACTGAGCCCAACAACCCAGGCATGTCCCCTGACCAGGAATTGAACCTGTGACCTCTCTGTGCACGAGACAATGCTCAACCCACTGAGCCACACCAGTTATACGTGTGACATTGTTAGCATATGTAGCTAGTTAGTGTTAGTAAAGGAAGGGAGCAAATGGAATCAGACACTAAACCAGCACTGGGGAGCTGAATTGGACATTAAGCCTATTCACTAGGAAGCCAGAGTGTTCACAGGTTCCCGGGGGACGGCCACACCCTCCAGATGCAGGGACCTAACCCCACCCAGGCAGGAAGACGCTCCCCGCTCCCCGTCCTGAGCCAGGATCGCCCAGGGGCAGGGATAAAGCTGCAGGGAAACTCCTTCGCGAGGCGCATGCACAGCAGAAACCTGGATGGCACAGGGAGGCAGCACACGCACAGTAGACACCAGACGATGAGGCAGCAGAACTGGGGGGGAGGGCAGTGGAGCCAAAGTGGGGGCATAAAGGGGTGGAGTCCAGCCTGGGACAATCGGGGAGAGGATGGCTTTGGATGAGAGCGAAGAACTTTGGAAGGTCCAGGAAGGGATTGGTCCCCGGGAGGGCCCAGCACAAGCCCATGAAGAATTAGGAAGAAGGTTGGCCGGTTTGAAAGAGCCTGCTCATTCCCTCAAACCGAGGAAATAGATGGAGGTCCTGGCCAGGTGGCTCAGTTGGTAGGAACATAGTCCCGGGCACCAAAAGGTTGTGGGTTCGATTCCCAGTCAGAGAACATACCTAGTTTGCAGGTTCAAATCCCAGACCTCTCACACTTCTCTCCCTCTCTCTCTCTCTCAAAATATGGAGGATTATCAGGAATCTCTGGACAGTTGCTATAGAGCCCGCCTGCCCTCTGCATCCTGGAGGGCATCTTATTGCCCTTCACCCCAATAAGTCTTGATACTATGTGTGCTTTGAAATTCCTTTCTCACCAAACCACAAGAAACCATTTTCACTGGCAAAAATATTGTGACTTACAGTATGAAATACATGTTTGGTCTCCCACCCCAGTCCTGGTACTGAGCTCCTAACCCCCTGCAGTTTCCTGTGAGGAGAGTGAGAAAGGTGTCTTTTCTGTTAGCACATTGCACACCAGTAGTTTTATTTCTAGCTTTACCCGGCGGCCAGATAAGTTTCTATTGAACGAGTACAAAAAACATTTTACCAAGTATCATACTTCAAAAAGATATTAGCTTGTAAGAACATGTGATAAATAACTTCAAAATGCAATGGGGCCGAAACCGGTTTGGCTCAGTGGATAGAGCATCAGCCTGCGGACTGAAGGGTCCCGGGTTCGATTCCGGTCAGGGACATGTGCCTTGGTTGCGGGCGCATCCCTGGTGGGGAGTGTGCAGGAGGTAGCTGACCGATGTTTCTCTCTCATCGATGTTTCTAGCTCTCTATCCCTCTACCTTCCTCTCTGTAAAAAAAATCAATAAAAATATATTTTTTAAAAATGCAATGGGTATTTAATTCTAATATTTATGTGTTTTTAATGTGTTTTTAATATTTATGTAAAACTGTGCAATATGAAAACACGAGAATGCTCATGATCCGCCCGCAATGTGTTAATATAAACACAGAACTAAGGATGGGCTGGTGGCCAGTGGAGCCAGCAGCAAGGTTAGAAGTTTCAAGCCCACCCCTGACCCCTGGGGAGGGGAGAGGAGAGGCACTGAAGGTTGAACCAATCACCAATGGCCAATGACTTCACCAACCATGCCTGCATCATGAAGCCTCCATAAAACCCCGGGCAATGGGGTTCCCAGAGCCTCCGGGCTGGTGAACACGAGGAGGTGCTGGGAGGGCGGTGCACCCCATGGCCCTTTCCCACACCTTGTCCTGTCCATCTTTTCATCTGGCTGTCGATCCTTTTTAAAAATATATATATTTTATTGATTTTTTACGGAGAGAAAGGGAGAGGGACATAAAGTTAGAAACATTGATGAGAGGGAAACACCAATCAGCTGCCTCCTGCACACCCGCTACTGGGGACCGAGCCCGCAACCCAGGGATGTGCCCTTGACCGGAATCGAACCCGGGACCCTTTAGTCCGCAGGCCCCCACTCTGTCCATTGAGCCAAACCAGCGAGGGTGACCGCCTTTTACACATGGGGAAGCTGAGGCTCTGCTGGTTGAAGCCGCTTGTGCCAAGTGTCAGCGAGAGGAGGGGCGGCAATGTGAACACAGAATGGCTCCTCTGGAGCTGACAGCTGTCTAGGCTGATGGGGCTGGATCCGGCCAAACCCTTGGAAGCTTTTATATTTAGGGAAAACCACAAATAGATGGAAGTGTGGTGGGGGAGAGAGACTTCAGAGTCCCATCCCAGGCCTGGAAATAGCCAGTAGAAAGCCAGACATGTGTGAGTCCCCTTTGCGGAGTCACCCCTAAAACCTATGTGGCTTCTTGTGCCCCGGGGTCTGGTTCTCTTATCCATTCGTGGAGTCCAGCGAAGGCTGTGGTCTCACCATTCACTATTCATCTGCAGGCTGCCACCTTGGACAGCACCCCATGCGTGGCTCTCTCTGCCCCCTGCTGACCTGGCCCTGCCATGTGAGGGTGACTCAGCACTCTGGAGTGACCCTGGGGCCCCGCCTCTGCTGGTGTGTGTGGGGGAGAGGGAGCTTTAGCTCCGTGCTTAGTCATCCCTACATCCTTTATTGAGTACTTGCTTTGTGCCAAGCCGGTGGGGCAAGACGCCCAGCCTCCTGCAGTCAGGATGTTAGGGTGAGCACATGTGTTTGTTAAGCCCCTGCAGCTTACCTGGGAGGTCACAGGGCCCTCAGGACTCTCCTATGGCCTGGTATGATTCCACTGCACAGAGCTGAGGCTGACTCAGGGGGGTGCGAGGGGGTATGGGGGGGACGGGGAGGAGGCTAGGCTTGGCTGGCCTAGCACAGCTGGTGGGTATGTGCTGTGTGGCCCCCATTGATCCTTGTAATTCTTGCCTGCACACTCCTATCATACGCATCACATTCCCACCATCTGTCTCACACTGCTGCCCACCCTCCCCACAGCACAGGGGCTGGTTGCCTGGGGCCCGGAGTCTTGAGCAGCGGAAAAAGCTCTGGGTTACCCAGGAGGAAGGGTGTTCCTGGGGCACCTTCTGCTCCTTCACCATCTGGTGGCTGGACCCAACACCTGCCCTCCCTGCCCTAAAGGGCAGCCCTCCAATTCTCTGTCACCTACTCTCTGGGCCAGCCAGGGAACTGGTGTCCAGAGTGGCTTTATCCCTGCCCAAATATTCCAGGAACTCCCAAGTCTGGGGCAGACAAAGTCAACACTGCCAGCGCTGGGGGGGCAGGCTTGGGTTGGAGGAATGAATGGAGGAGGGGCTTTTTGAGTAGGGTTTTGAAGAATGAGTAGGAGTTTCCTAGATGAGGGTGAGTAAGTGCCAAAAATACCAGTGCCAGCATAGGAAGCACCTACTATATGCCTGCCATGTCCTTTATACATCATGTAACCTTGTCCCCAGTGAAAGACTCAGTCCTTGCTTCCCAAATGAACAGGGGTGTGATGGAGAGAAATGACTTGCCCAGGTAACACTTTCTGGCTCTTTCTAGCCCTTTCTCCTCTGCTTTTTCTTTCTTTTTAAATATTTTTTTTTATTTCAGAGTGGAAGGGAGAGGGAGAGATAGAAACATCAAGGATGAGAGTCATTGATTGGCTGCCTCCCGCATGCCCCCTTATTAGGGACCGAGCCCGCAACCCAGGCCTGTGCCCTTGACTGGAATTGAACCCAAACTCGTCAGTCCGCAGACCGGTGCTCTATCCACTGAGCCGAACCAGCTATGGCCGCCTTGTTTTTCCATATAGATTCAGCCTTTGGTTCTAACCAGAGCGGGAAGAGAGGAAACGCCATCAGGAAAGAAGGCCACTTTGAAAGCTCTTGCTGTGGAGTTTAGCACATAATAATGTTGAGGGTTTGTTTTGTGTGTGTGTGTGTGTGTGTGTGTTTTGAGAAAATCTATTTTCCCATCAGCCCACCAACCTAGGATGATGCCCCCATTTCACAGACGTCTCAGAGGCACTCCTGGGCCCCAGCTTCCCCAGGAGCACCCCCCTCAAGCTTCTCCCAGAGAAGCAGCCACAGACCCTGCCCAGCTGTGGTCCCGGGAGTGTTTACTGTGCCGGCGGGACCGGGCGGGCGGGGGCGGACAAAGTCCGGGGGATATAAAGTCTGGCAGCAGCGTCCGGTCAGTCACAGCTCGGAGCACAGGAGCAGGGCTCTGCCCGGGCAGGCCCGCCCGCCGCGCTGCCCTGCGATGCTGCTGCTGATGCTGCTGGCGCTCCCCGGGCTGCCGAGCGGAGACACCCTCTCCCTCGCCCAGGAGCACCTCCAGGCCGGCCCGGGACCCTCACACGTGCATGCCAGTCCGAACAGCTCCAGACTCCGGGAGCTGAGGAAACGCTATGAAGATTTGCTGACCAGGCTTCGAGCAAACCAGACCTGGGAGGACCGAACCCGGGCCTCATCCCTGCCTCTCACATCCAGATTCTCACCCCAAAGCGTGAGTGAAACCTCAAATACGCCCCCTCACACACACCCAAGCAGCTTCTATCATCTAACCAGAGGTTCTGAGTTATACAGCATCATGCTGAGCCTCAGTTTCCCCATCTGTGAGCCGGACAAACATGTCCCTCCTCCGGGCTGACTGGGGAGCTAGCGTCCCTGTTTGCGTTGGGACAAAAGAGGCTTAGCCAGCGTGGGAGAGGAGGATTACATCTCCTCGGGTAGCAGATGGGGAAACTGAGGCGAGGAGAAGCCAGCGACTCTCCTGAAGGCTCGCCCAGCCTGGAGAGCCCTGAGATGAGGTCTGGCAGGGTGCGTGGTCCTGTCCTTGAGTGTAGCTGGGGCTGAAGGTGGGTGGGATCCAACAGGATGGATGCAGGGGCAGGGGGGTGGGAAGGGGAGCAGGAGGGACTTAGTGCACAAAGAAGGGGAGAATCCACTCTGATTCTGAATCTGATGCAATTTCGCTGCAAGGCACTGCTAAAGTCACACACGGCAGGTGCCCTGAAAGGAGGAGGGGACTATTTCTGCGCCCTCCCAGGGGACTCCGGGAGGTGGAGAGGGCAAACGAAGATCTGGCCTGCGCTGGAACCTGGAGGGGGTGGGGAGAGGGTGTCAAACTAGAACTGGTTTTATCCTGCCCTAATCCCACTGGTGCTGAGACTCCAGGTAATCCTTTCAGCCTAACACACCAACTCCAACGCCAGTCTCTGCAGTAGCCCCAACACCTGCCCCAGCCTGGGGGTCTGCAAATCCTGGGGAGCCTGGTACCCTTCTTTTCTCAAGTGGGAAACCGAGACCCAAGGAGTTGAAAACAGAGTCTGGTTGCTGAAACCCTAGCCCCAGGCACGTAGTAGGTCTTCAACGAAAATGTCTTTGACTGCCAGGAGGAGGTGGAACCAGCATCTGACTAAGCACCTACTGTGTGCCATGCACGGTGGTGACCAGGCAGACAAATCCCTACCAAATAAAATAGGCTGGTGCTGTTTTAGGTAGGTTGGAGGGATTCAGGGAAAGAGTGTGGCTGATGGAGGAAGGGGTTTATGCCATTGCCCTGAGGTGGGATCCACCTGGCCCGTGGGAGGAAATGTAGGCCCGTGGGTGACTGGCCTTCCTCTCTCTTTCTCTCTCCCACAGTGAGACTTGGACCAGGCGGCCGCCTGCACCTGGGCATCCCCAGGGCCAACCTGTCTAAGGGGCTCCCCGCAGCCTCCCGCCTGCATCGGGCCCTGCTCAGGCTGTCCTCCCCAACGGAGTCGCGCACGTGGGATGTGACGCGGCCGCTGCAGCGTCAGATGGGCTTCGGCGTCTCCCGGGAGCCCGCCCTGCGTCTGAACTGGCTGCCGCCTGATCGGTTGCGGGCGGAGGCATCGACTGCGGCGGGGCTGCGGCTGGAGCTGCACTGGCGGCCACGCGCCGGCAGGGGGCGCCGCAGCACGCATGCGCGCGCCCCGGACGGCTGCCCGCTCGGCGAGGGCCGCTGCTGCAGCCTGCGGAGCCTGCGCGCGTCGCTGGAGGACCTGGGCTGGGCCGACTGGGTCGTGGCGCCGCGCGAGCTGGATGTGCGCATGTGCGGCGGCGCGTGCCCGAGCCAGTTCCGGCCGGCCAGCAGGCATGCGCAGATGCTGGCGCGCCTGCACCGCCGGAAGCCCGAGGGCGTGCCCGCGCCCTGCTGCGTGCCCGCCAGCTACGAGCCGGTGGTGCTGCTGCACCGGGACAGCGAGGGCCGCGTGTCCCTCACGCCCTTCGACGACCTCGTGGCCAGCGACTGCCACTGCGTGTGAGCGGACCTGGACCTCCATCCACGGCCCGTGCTCAGTGGGAGGCGACCTCAGTCCGGGCCTGTCGCATGGAATGGGCTAGTGGGACCCGAAATAATGCAATGGCAATCATTGCTGTCTGCGGCCTGCCGCCAAAAAACAACGTTTTTATGAGTTGATATTTATTATTAATTTATTGGGGTGACTGGCCTGAGGGCCAGAGAGCTGGGGAGGGCTGATCCAGCAGGGTGTACATTTATTTAAACTGTGGTAATAAAAGTGAATCTGTCAGACCTGACGCCTATGATGCCTGATCTGGGGACCTTGGAAAGAGCCTGCCCCTCCCTGGCCTCAGTTCCCACAGGGACCTACGATAGGGGTGAGCGGAAGGTTCGGTGAATGGGCAGCAGGGCGTTCTTGCAGCTGACAGGCAATGGGATGGTGCTGGCAATCCTTCAAGGGCACCTGGGACATCCCTATCTCCACGCTTGTCCAGCTCCATTTCTCTGGGTCTCCGTTTCTCTCTCTGCTCATCTCTCAGCACTCCTGTTTCTGGATGAGTTAAGATATCAGTGTATTAGAGCTCAACAGCCTTAGAGCCCAGCTAGTGTGGCTCCGTGGTTGTGCATTGACCTATGAACTAGGGGGTCATGGTTTGATTCCTGGTCAGGGCACACCCTGTGCAGGAGTCAGTCGATCAATGATCCTCTCTCATCATTGATGTTTCTATCTCACCCTCTTCCTCTCTAAAATCAATAAAAAAGAACATTTTAAGTAAAACACAGACTGAGAGACCAAGTCTAACATTGCATTTTACAGATGTGGGGAACGAGACATGTGGAATTAATGGCAGAGTTAGGACTTGAACTCTTAACTCCTGACGCCCCAGCCACAGTTCTGCAACTCTTAGGGTGTTTACGAGTAAGAAAAAGAGGAAGGGGTGGCATTCTGGGCAAAAGGAGTGGCATGCGTAAATGGCTTAGGAAAATGAAAGGTTCAGCAGGGAGGGGGCTAGCTGGTGATGAGGCCCAGACAGAGGGCAGAGGGATGGGAGAGACAGTGAGGTAGACAAGGCTGGGTCATACCATCCTCAAATTACCAGACTGCGGACCCAGGGACAATGGGGAGCCAGAGAGGGTGTGTGAGCAGGGGAAGGACACAATCCTGATTCCTGAGTTACATAAATCCGTCTGGGGCTGGCGTGGGCTGCCCTGGGGGCTGAATCTGGATGCCGGGGACCTGGGAGGGACAGCGGAAAGGGGCTGGGGAGAAATTCAGGAGTCTCCAGAGATTAATCTTGAGAGTTCAGGAAATCACTGACAGGAACCTTCTCCCTCTGAGCCAGCAATCTCACCAGCCTCACAGTGTTTATTTTTATTTATTTATTTTTTAATATATTTTATTTTTTACAGAGAGGAAGAGAGAGGGACAGAGAGTTAGAAACATCGATGAGAGAGAAACATCGATCAGCTGCCTCCTACAAACCCCCCACACTGGGGATGTGCTCACAACCAAGGTACATGCCCTTGACCGGAATCGAACCTGAGACCCTTGAGTCCGCAGGCCGATGCTCTATCCACTGAGCCAAACCGGTTTCGGCCTCAGTGTTTATTGGGCACCACCTGTACACCGAGAGGAAGGTGACAATGGAGTTGACATCGTGAACCCCTGTGTCTGTGTTGGAGTCTCCTCTTCAGGGGTCTGAAGAGCAGAGCGGGAGCTGGGGAGAGGGCTTGCAAAGACAGTTCTTCCCTGTCCCCATTCCTCAGGCTGGGAGACTGAGGCCAGGGGAGGTCTGGAAGGGGGCAGGCTGGAGTTCCGGCTCAGTGCCCGATCACGTACTCATCTTCGGCCGCCGGGCCCTGGCCGGGGTACTGCAGGTTCCCGTAGACGGGCTGGGAGGCTCGGCGGAGGTCCTCGTAGTTCATGTAGCAGTCGGTGTCCTCTGAAGGGTGAGGCCTGTGGGGACAGAAGCTGGGTAGAAAGGAGGACTCTGGGGGGGGAGGCACATCAGCTTGGAGAGGCAAAGGAAGTTCCCTCCTCATTTACATGTGAAGAAACTGAAGCCAGGGACACGTTCTCCCAGCCTAGCAACTTTCTCCCAGAAAAGGAAGTCAGGGCCAGTGAGTCAGGGAAGGTTCTGCGGATTCAGCACATAGTGCTGAGGGCTGAGGACTTGGGGCCAGTGTAGTTTTTTGTTTTTGTTTTACATTAAAATCTAGCCTTCAGTTTCTTTTGGAAAAAATGCTAGCTCTGGTCACATCAGCCCCATAAACTTAAGTTGCTGGAACCGGCAATGTTTCCATGGTCCCTGAAGTAGCAGACTTTGTGAACACAAAATAAAAATAAGGCCCTAAGCGGTTTGGCTCAATGGATAGAGCGTCGGCCTGCAGACTCAAGGGTCCAGGTTTGATTCCGGTCAAGGGCATGTACTTTGGTTGCGGGTACATCCCCAGTAGGGAGTGTGCCACAGGTAGCTGGTTGATGTTTCTCTATCATCGATGTTTCTAACTCTCTCTCCCTCTCCCTTCCTCTCTGTAAAAAAATCAATAAAATACATATTTTTAGCCGAAACTGGTTTGGCTCAATGGATAGAGCATCGGCTTGGGGACTGAAAGGTCCCGGGTTTGATTCTGGTCAGGGGCATGTACCTTGGTTGCGGGCACATCCCCAGTAGGGGGTGTGCAAGAGGCAGCTGATCGATGACTCTCTCATTGATGTTTCTAACTCTCTATCTCTCTCCCTTCCTCTCTGTACAAAATCAATAAAATATATTTTTTAAAAAAAGAATACCTAAATCTATCATTATATATATATATAATTTTTTTAAAAACATAAGTCTCAGAAACTCACTTTTTGCACCCATACATTAGTTAGGGAGGATATGGCTCCTTAAGAATGTTTAGCTGTGGTAGGCAAGACCCCCAGAGAAGAACTTTCCTTCCTCCTGAACATCTTAATCCCACCCTGGGACCTCTTGTAACAAAGGCCATGTTGGGTAAGTGATGTCTATCACTCACTCACACTTTAGTATGAATTACTCCAAACACATATATGGTTGTACAGGCGTGGACAGGACTGGGAGTCAGAATTTGTTTCCTTCCTCTGCTTCTGACTCACAGTGTGACCTTGGGAAAAGTCATTTCCCTTCCTCCCAGAGCCTATCTTTCTTCATCTGTAAAACGTAAAGTGGGAATGACGCATTCAATCCTAAATGTTTTTGGAAGAGTCTGGCCCTGAGCCCGTAGGGACAGGGAAGCAGAGGAGAGCAACAGGCAGAGCTAAGCTGCTTTAGCAAGCCTAGTTCCCTCAAATCCCTTCCGCAGCCCACTTCTGCTTTTAAGCGGTGTTTTCATCTGCTTTGCATACTCTCTAATTTCTCATCAATAGAGTCCCATAGCTTCCCCACCGCACCCCGAACTGGACCTCACCCTCCAGACTCCGCCAGGACCCTGTTCCCGTCCGGCTTGTATCCTCCCACCCGCTTCAGCCGCAGCGCTCATGTTTTGCTGTCTCCAAACCCTTTGACAGCAGTTTCTCTGTTCTCTCCCACCCGCTGACATTTGTTCCTGAGATCCCATCCACTTCTCATCCAGCCTGGAGAAGTTGAACCCACCTAACCCCAGCCTGACCTAGAGACATTGGGGCTTTGTACAGGGGAGATGGACAGGCGTCTTTCTTAGCATCTCTCAGTGTTCAAGGGAGAGGGGGGGAGGGCGGTCCCCCTGACACAGAGACGGAGCTAGTGGTTCAGAGGCAGCGCGGGGTCACAGATATCTGCACCCAGGCTGTGGACCGGCACCTCAAGGCCCCCGTCTGCCTGGAGACCTTGCCTCCTCTCTCCGACCTTGGCAGCCAGAAACTGGGTTTGTAGGTCATGGAGGGAGTCTGTCCCATCCACAGGGGCTCACTTATTCCTCCATAAGGTGGGATTCCTGTTATCCCCGTTTTACCGATGAGGAACTGAGACCCGGAGGGGGAAAAGCTAATGGCTCGGGATCACACGGCCTACAAGAGGCAGAGCTGGGACTTGAACCCTGGCCATCTGGCTCCAGAGTCCTACAGGCAAACGTGTGTGGGTTACTCACCCGTGTTTGGTCGGCTGGTGGTTGGCAGGCGGCTGGCCTATGAACACATTCTCGTAGTCAGGTGTGGGGGGTCTGGGCAGGGTGGCTTCTGGTTGATGAAGGCTGAGGCTCCGGCTACTGTATCTCGTCTGCCAGCCTGAGCTGGGCCTGGGCCCCCCCGGGGCAGCCCACGTTTTGTCCTGGCTCTGTCTCCTGGGTGACCAGCGTGACCGGGCTCTCCAGAGCAGCAATGAGCCAGCTACGGCGAGCCCGAGGAGCAGGCTCCCACCGGCCGCCAGCGCCCCGATGGCCGCCACGCTCAGGCCAGGGGGACAGCTGACCTCCAGGAAGGCAGAGAGGTTGCGCCAGGCGAAGGTGCCCGCATCCAGGCACTGCAGGGGCAGCTGGTCAGAGCAGTTGTCCTGCCGGACCCGGTGCCAGGAGGCCAGGGCGCAGCGGCAGTCCGCCTGCAGGTCCAGGGCGCAGCGTTCGGCCAGCTCCGCGTCCACGCGGTCCAGCGGGTTGTGGGTCACGTTGAGGATCTGCAGGTTCCCCAGGCGGGCGAAAAAGGACCACGGGAGCTCCCGGAGGCCGTTCCCAGACAGGTCCAGGAGGAGCACGCCGCTGGCCTGCAGAGACCCGTTCCTGGGGATGCTCAGGCCTCGGCCGCTGAAGTTCAGACAGGTGGCTGTGAACTCAGCGTTCCAGTCCACGTCCTCCGAGGACACGTTGCAGGACAGCCCCAGGCTGCATGGGTCCTGCAGGAGCAGCAGCAACCACAGCGCCCATGGCAGGGCGCGCCCCATTCAAGCGACCTAAGGCGGAGACACCAGAATGCAAGCCCTGACCTTTATAAAGGCCTGTGGTCACCCTCGCCCTCGACACCCCGTTTGTTGCGAGTTGGGGTTTGTCTGCTTTTAATAGCTCCGAGGACAGCTCAGGACGCTTTGGGTCATAGGCATCCCCTCCCTGGTAGCCCCTTATGGCCAGGCTCTGGCCTCCAGCCTCAGTCTTTCCCCATTTCCCCAAATGGGTACCCATTTCCCGGAGGGGGAAGACTGAGGCCGGAGGCCAGAGCCCTGGCGCTGCCCCTTCTACCAGATGGGTTCCCCTGGCCTTGGCCTAAGCCCCCCCTCCCAACACCCTGGTCGGCGAACTGCGGCTCTTTGGCCCCTCGAGTGTGGCCCTCCCACGAAATACCCACGGCCTGGGCGCGTCTATGTTGAAGAGGTTTAGGCGGTTCGGAGAAGTTTAAGTTTAAAAAATGTGGCTCTCAAGAGCAGTGTCCATCGCTGTGCTGTTGCTGTTTGGCTCTGTGGACTGATGAGCTTGCCGACCACTTGCCCCAACGTTCCCGGCGGCCTCATTGGCCAAGACGGAGCCGTATGCAAATGAGCTGTCGCGGGCAGCGGGCGGTCTCCCGTGGACCGTCTCCCAGGGACCGGGTCCCGGAGTCCGGGGATGGGTGGGTGGATGGGGGCGCCCTGCACAGACCCGGGTTCTGGCCTCTGCCCTCCCTTTGCGGCCCTTTACCCCGCCCTTACCTGGCGGTGCTGGAGCTCCGCGCGGAGGACCTCAGCGGTGGGTCACCCGGCCCCGGGCGGGCGCTCAGCCGGCGGCCCCTCTCCGGTCCCCGCGGCGGGTCCCTGTGGCTCCGGAGGCTCCGCACCCGGCGGCGCAGGGGAAGAGGAACTGGAGCCCGGGCGGACCGCCGAGGGCGAGAATGAAGAAGACACAGCGAAGACCCGCCCTTCTGCAAGCCTCGGGGCCGGAGTCTCACGGGAGGGGGCAGGGCGCCGCTTCCCTCTCGCTGGACCCCAGGCATCCTCGCCGCCTGCTGTCCCTCAGCGCACTTCCTGGTCTCAGCTCCGCTCTCCCCAGCCCTGGCATTCATGTATTCATTTCCGGCATCACCCAGGGCCCCAAGAGCCTCAGCTTGGATGATGGGTTCCCCAGGAGCACCCAGTCCTGAGAGAGGTCAGAGCTGTGCAGACACCCTAGTCCCCTGGGGTCAGGACATGGTCCCGGAAGGCTTCTTGGGGGAGGAGACATGAACACTGGAGCTTCAGCACGTGAACAGAAGTTTGCTGAGGATCCCTAACACCTGCCTTTGACTCTCTAAGCTCCTCGTCTCCCCATAGACTCAGCACTCTTAAAAAAAAAAAAAAAAAAAAAAAATATATATATATATATATATATATATATATATATATATATATATAGTATTGTGTGTGTGTGTGTGTTTTGTTTTGTTTTGTTTTTTTACAGAGAGGAAGGGAGATGAATAGATGAGAAACATCCATCAGCTGCCTCCTGCACACCCCTACTAGGGATGTGCCTACAACCAAGGTATATGCCCTTGACTGGAATCGAACCTGGGACCCTTGAGTCTACAGACCTACACTCTATCCACTGAGCCAAACCGGTTAGGGCCAGACTCAGCGCTCTTGCTCATGTACAAAGAGGCCTCCATGCTACGGGCTTGGTGAGGAGGTTCCCTGGGTGAGGGGACCCTGAGTCTGGGGCTTGGGGAATGGCAGGCCGTGGCAGGCAGAAAAAAAACCCATTTGCAGATTCTAGGCAGAAGGCACAGCAGGAGCCAGGACCTTGGCCTTGGGCTCAAAGCATTGGCCCTGGGACTGCTGGTGAGCAGCGGAGTGGCTAGAGTGGACATGCTCAGAGGAGGAACTGGGTGTGTGTGTGTGTGTGTGCCTGTGAGTGTGCGTGTGTGTGAGTGTGTGTGTGTGTGTGAGTGTGTGTGTGAGAGAGTGTGTGTGTGTGTGTGAGTGTGAGTGTGTGTGTGTAGAGGAGCAGAGGCACAGGCCTCGAAGCCGACTGAGGAGTGGGGCTGTATTCCCAGGGCCATGGGGAGCCGGAACAGGTGTTTGAGCTGGGGAGGGGCATTGTGCCAAGACATACAAGTGGAGTGAGCCTGGGGGCTGGGGAGGGAATCCAGGGAGGAGACCAGTATCCCCACGGGAGAGGAGAGCCTGAGTCAGACCTGAAGGATGGTGACAGAAGTGAGGCTGAGGAGGGAGTGGATAGGGCTGGGCTGGGAGAAGGTCTTAGCTTCAGTGGGATCCTGGCATATCAGGCAGATTGAGTTCAATTCCATTCTAGCTCCTGACTCACTGTGCAACCTTAACTGCTCTGTGCCTCAGTTTCCACATCTGTAAAATGGGATAGGTGCTAAGAGCCTTCCGGATTCCGGGAGGCCGAAGTCCACTCCTTCCATTTTCCCCTCTCCTCAGACTCTGCTCTTCCCATTTCCTTACTCAGAAGAATTCGGAGACTTTTCAGAAAGGGTTGCAAATTGTTCTTCAACACACCCAAAGTTACTCCAAATAAGAAAATGTAAATCGCAGCTCTGAGACCGTTTGTTTTCACCTATTAGGCTGGCAAGAATTCAAAAGCGTGATACACCAGTGCTGGCTGGGATGGGGGAGCCGGGCAATGCCACACACTGCTGGGGGAACATCCATAGCGTGCCCCCAGGAAGGCACCCTGGCACCAGAATCATGAACACATGTGCCCACTCACCCAGCAACCCCACCCTGGGACTCCCCCAAAATATCGACGTTTGCAAAATGACAGGGGCGTGAACTGGATGACAGGATGAACACACAAGGTCCCTCCACACAGTGGAATATAACTCAGCCATGAAAAGGAGGGAAGCGTTTACCTCTACAATGAAAGACACGCCAAGTAAAAGAAGCCAGACACAAACAGCCGTATGTTGTATGATCTAATTTCTGGGAAATGCCCAGAACAGGCAAAGGCAATCCATAGAGCCAGAAAGCACATTAGTGGCTGCCAGAGACTGGGGGAACGGGAAATGGCTGCTAACGGGGATGAGGCCTCCTTTTTGGTGATGGAAATGTTCTGAATCTAGATAGAGGTGATGGTTGTACAACACGAATGCACTAAAATGCCACTGAATTGTCCACTTTATTTTTTATTTTTTATTTTTAAATATATTTTATTGATTTTTCACAGAGAGGAAGAGAGAGGGATAGAGAGTTAGAAACATTGATGAGAGAGAAACATCGACCAGCTGCCTCTTGCACACCCCCTACTGGGGATGTGCCCGCAACCAAGGTACATGCCCTTGACCGGAATCGAACCCCGGACCTTTCAGTCTGCAGGCCGACGCTCTATCCACTGAGCCAAACCGGTCCCGGCTGAATTGTCCACTTTAAAATGGTTAAAATGGCCTGGCTGGTGGGACTCAATGGTTCAGTGTCGACCTGTGAACCAGGAGATCACTGGTTTGATTCCCAGTCAGGGCACATGCCTGGATTGTGGGCTTGATCCTCAGTGTGGGGCATGCAGGAGGCAGTGGATCAGAGATTCTCTTTCATCATTGATGTTTCTACCTCTCTCTGCCTTGCCCTTATCCTCTGAAGGGAGAAAGGAGAGGAGAGAGGTGCCTTGATTAAAATATGTATATATAATTGATTTTAGAGAGAGGCAGGGAGAGGGACAGAGAGATAGAAACATCGATAGGCTGCCTCCTGCTGGGGATTGAGCCTGCAGCCAGGGCCTTGAACCGTGACTTCCTGGTTCATGGACGGACATTCAACCACCAAGCCACACTGGCCCAGCAGAAACATTGACTGGCTGTTGTATTATTTATGCATTCACTGGTCGATTCTTGTGCGGTGCCTTAACTGGGGATGAGCAAGGAAATCCTTAGTGAGAAGGATAAAGCAGCTCCCTGAGTAAGGAGGAGGGGGGGGGGGCACCCAATGGAACAGCTTCTGCAAACGCCCTCCCGGCTGGAAGCTGCCTGGGTGAAAGCAGATGTCTCCAGGAGAAGATGTTAGCTGAAAAGGGCAAATAATAATAATAATAATAATAATAATAATAATAATAAATTTTCTACATTTCATTTGCCTACAGAAACTTTGGCTGAAACACAAAAAACAAATACCCATAGTTACCTCTTAGTGGCAGGCAGAGCGGAGGGAGAACCTCACCAGGTACATTTTAATATTTTTTACTTTAGGATCCTATCATTTCACAGGAATGCAAATCATCGTTTGCATATTCAATCAAAACATTAAAATTAGCCAGCAAGTACACACAAGACACTCAGGTTTTCAGGACAAGAGGGACAGGGGTCCCGCCCGGCCCAGGCGGGCCATCTCCCATACCCCACATCCCAGGAGTTGGTTGTGTCCAACGCGGACCTCAGAATAAGAGGAAATGAGAAATGAGGAAGCAGCAGACACGGGCTGTGGGGGAGGGGCAGGCAGGCTGGGGCCTGGGATAATAGGTCAGGAGGAACTAGGGGTTTGGGGTCTGACGTATCTGGGTGTCCTGGAGTTCAGGGGCCCAGGTCCTGCGGCTTGGGTGTCTGGAAAGTCCTCGCATTTGGGGGTCCCGGGGCCTGGATTTGGGGTTCACAGGCCTGGGGTCTGGTCTCCTCTGTCGTCCCCACTGGCTGCGCCCAGGACTGTGGAAGGAGGAGACTGGCTCCCTGGCCCCCTCCCTGGCTGCGGGAGCTGGAAGCTTCAGGAGGGCACATCTTCATGCTCCCTTTCCTGCCCCACCTGCACACCGAGCAGGTCCTGGGCCTGAGTTCCAGGTGGGGCCGGCCCATCCCATCAGCTCAAAGAGCTCCAGAGACCCTCAGAGACCCACAGAGACACTCAGAGAGACACACAGGGCATTCCCTCAGTTCAGCCACATTAGCCCAACACTCTCTGATGCCCCCACCCAATCTCGCTGGGTGAGGCCTCGGACTGGGCCCTGCCCCTAGGAGCCCCTAGACTTCCTGGTCCAGTCCCTTCCTGGCTTCCAGCCACCTCCATCCTCTCCTTTGAAACCCCACCCCTCTCTTGGAATCCAGTCCCTCCCAGGGGAGGGGAGGGAAAGAGAGGGGAGGGGATGAGAAGGGAGGGGAGGACAGGGGAGGAGAGGGAAGAGGTGGGGAGGGGAGGGGAAAGGAGAGGAAGAGAGGGGAGGGAAAGGGCAGCCTGACACAGCAGCAGCAGAGGCCATTTAGAGGGCTGGGGATCCTCAGGCATCTGCGGGCTCTGGAGCCAGCAAGTCAGGATAGAAGCCAGCAAGTCAGGATAGAAGCCAGGTGTGATGGCCAAGAACTGGACGGGGTCAGTGAACCTACAGGTTTACCTGCAGCGTGGGTGACCCCGGACCTCTATGCATTCACTCAGCAAACGTGGCTGAGATACGCTTGGCCATTTCATTGCTGTGTGATCTTCGGCCAGTGCCTTAACCTCTCTGTGCCTCAGCTGGCTTTCTCCTCTTACAATGAGCACAGTCACCACCACGGTGCAGGGCGGCTGTGAGAGGCTGGGAGGCAGCACGAGTGTGAGCACAGCCTGGAGCTGGGGACACGAGAGACCAGTACGCCAGCGAGTGTCCCAGGGGCTAAAAGGATTGTCACACACACACACACACACACACACACACAGAGCTAACTCAGGAGGTTAATTTTCAATGAAAGACCTTATCTGAGGGTGTTACGAAGCGAGTCCCCAAGAGATGGACCACCGGAGCCAATTTGATTAAGCATGCTAGAGTTTATTACAGATTCGAATCCGGGCTCAAACCTTGGCTGACCAGCAGCCGGCAAACACCCAGGTGAGAGCCCCGATGGAGGTGCAGTCCCTCCAGAGCGCTCACACAAAAACACAGACAAACACACACCTACCGCGGCCAGTCAGGCTCTTCGGAATGGGGGTCCCTCATGGTCCTGGCTGGGGATTCCAGTCATGATCCCCAAGGACCACCAGGGAGCCGAGTCCGATGCAATAAACAAAAGAGCCATCTCCATGCTAGCATGGGCTATCCCACTCATGCCGGCAGCATGGCGGAAGAGCGCGAAATT